CTAGAAAAAGTGAATGTACCTTTTTTTAGGTGCTTCTCTATCAGCGGGAAATCTGGCTCTTTCTCTGTGGAATGGTCTCTCTCTCTCTCTCTCTCTCTCTCTCTCTCTCTCTCTCTCTCTCTTTCTCTCTCTCCCTGCACTACTAATAGGATGCAGGAGTTTGCTTATCTTCTAGATTAAACTATTATTTAACTTGAGATGTCTAAATGCTTAACTAAGTAACTCAGCATGCTGTGTCTTAGGGTATAGAGGATATACCCTTAATGTTCTAGGATGTTCATTGTGTCTTCTTGGGAAGTTTAGAAGTTTAAGTGCCTTAGCAGAGGCCAGGTTCTCACTTTATAAATATCCTGAGCCTTGGCAAGAGGATGGCAGAGACATGGTCAGGGAGTAAAGCCTGAACACAATATAAGGGAGGAAAAGAAGCTTGTTTTCCCCCACCTTCTGATGTGTTGCTTTGCGGTCTTCCACCTCCATGAACTGTTGCCCCTGTGCCATACCACCCTGCCCAAGAGTCAGCTGATTAGGGACTGAGACCTCCACAAACCATGAGCTAAATAAATCTTCCCTTCCTTAATTTTGCATGTTGGCGATTTTTATTCCAGCAATGAAAGTAAAATAATTAAGACATGAAAATTATTGTGAAAGTTCTCATCTATAAATTCATATTGTTTCTTTAGTTATAAATTCTATTATTATTAAAGCAAGAGTGTATGCCAGCCAGTGACACTGCTAGATCCATGACTGTGTAGCTGGAGTGGCTTGAGTGTCTGAATGGTGCAATTCAGGGATATTTCCTTAGGCAGTATGTATTTATTTATGTATTTGTTGCAGGATCTTGCTACATAGCTTAGACTTATAGTGATCCTCCTGTTTTCAGCCTCCTATCCCTGTGATTACAGGCATGTGCCACCATGCCTTAGTATGTCCAGTGGCAGGACCAATGTGGCATGTAGTGCAGGGTATCAAATCCCTGTCCCTGCACTTGCCTAAGCAGGAGCTTAGTCTGCTGAGCTATCTTGCTGGCCCTAGGTAGCATTTCATAAGCAAAGTTTGCTGAGATTTTTTTCTCAAAACAGGATCCTCCAGAGTTTACCATTTTACATTCTAGAGCTTGTGATTGGTGGCATCTGGTTGATTCCAGCGATGCCCTCAAGGTGTTTTTCCTATTGTGCTGGTGCAAAATACTTGGCTTCCTTTTAACAATGTTAATCTTTGCAGGAAATATACTTTCTTTGGCTCAAGTTTACATGCACTTCTTCTTTGGCCAAACTGCAACATTTTCATATGCTTTGGCTTTGCTTTTGTTCCTGATTCTCACTTTAAATGTGGCTAAAAGCGGCTAGCAGAACCCATGTCACTGCCTTGAAATTTGCTCTGCCAGATTAACTAGTCCACTATTTTTAAAGTCAGTCTCACATAAAGTCTTAGGATATAGGCAATATGAATGTAAGTTCTTTGGTTGAATGTAATATGTATGACCGCTAGATCAATAGACCAATAGTCAGTAGATTTATGTTTTCCTGCCATTGAAAACATCTTGAGCCTGGTTTTTACTGCTTACAGTCCTAACAGCATTCTGGTCCTCTGAGCTCTGACTACAATCATTGCTCAAGCTCTGCTTACATCATTGTTAGACCAGTTTTCCAAAGTGTTTGGAAATCTTCCCACTAACCTGACAGAAATCCTTTTGAACAATACGACCACGTTGAGTCACAGTCACAACTCCACTTCTCTGGTACCAATTATTTGTACTACTCAGTGTGATTATCACTGATGTGACCAAGTACTTGACAAATACTACTTAAAGAAGTAAAAGTTTATTTTGGTACATGGTTTCTGGGAGTTCAGTCTATCTTTGGATGACTCTAATACAAAATCGGAAGCCTAGAAGCACAGACAGCATAAGACCCAGACTCCCCTTGTGACAGGAGAGGATCTGAGGCATTGCTTGCTACAGGTGCACTCATTGACCTGCTTCCTACAAATAGGTCACAGCTGCTAGCAGCACATTCAGGTGTGAACACATTGCTTCATTGATCTACTGATGGGCGATAGCACCCTCAGGAGTCAGTCACTTCCCAAAAGCTACACTTCTGACTATACCAGAATTTTTTTGGGGGGGAGAGATATGTTTGATCTAAACCAAAAAATAAATGTACTTATATATCAGTTCTATAAATAACATTTCAAAAATTTTAACGCCACATATTCTGCTTTCACTTAATGTAGTTAGGAGCTTCTTTTTATTAGGTCTTAAACCTTGCCTTAAATTTCTGAAGACCAAAAACTGTTTTTATCTCATAGGTTTCCTGATTATATTAGTCTATTTTTTATTATCTTTTATGTACTTTGTACAGGGTCTCACTATACAGCTCTGATTCATAGTGATCTTCCTGTTTTCAGCCTTCCCAGCTCTGGGATTGGATGCGAGCACCACCATGCTTGATTCAGTCCCAGGCTTAGTGCACCCAAGGTAGCTGGGCTGGTGTGGCATGTGGTACCAGGGATCGAACCCTGGCCCATGTGCTTGCTTCATTTGCCTAAGCAGGTGCTTAGTCTGCTGAGCTATCTTACTGGCACCCTATAATAGTCTATTGAGATGATATTTTGCACTTTTGTTTTTAATTCATCAGATCAGTTTTCTGAAATAGCTTTGTCTTTGGGATTATGTTACTTCTTCTTTCATAGAATTTTGGTAATGACAAAGTTTTCTCCCCTATAACTTAAATTAGGAATATGTACAGAATTAGAATTCACAGTTTTATACAGCATTCTTGGCCCATTTTCTATTTACTAGAAATGAAACATGAAGTCTTTATTTTACAATGGATGATCAAAGTAGCACCATGTTGTTTGAGGAATTCACCTGCTCCAGACATGTAGAGTAGGAATAAAAACTTATTTGCACACCGTTTTACTTACTAGAGTTTGCCGAGTTCTAAAGCCTCTAACAGTATACCGTGTGAGGAAAATGTGGACAGAATTTTGGATTGTAATGTTGCCTCATGCTTTTCTTCCTTAACTGCTGAAAAAAAATCTGATTTGAATGTTTTAACACTTTAAAAGAAATTGAGGCTATTGGCATGAAAGCAATTAAAGGACTGCTGCAGGTTTCTTGTCACACATTGGGCTTAATTCCAAGGCTGCCACACTGTACCTGAAGATTTGTCAGCAAGTTCTAAAGTGGCAATGCATAAGGACTGAACCCTTTCAAGGAATTTTCCCTAAATGACCACTTAGAAAGAGGTTCAGTGACAAAATGGCAAAAGATTGAACAGAGTTGCTGAATCTGGAAAATGCGTATCTGGAGTCTTTATTTTTGGCTGAAAGCATCGAGTAATGTTACTATATATACCCAGATAATTAATTATATGAAAATAACTTCCAGAAACATCTGAAACTTCTATTTCTTAATAGTTCACTTGTATCAAAACTCATTTCCACATCACAGATGTATAATGTCTTATTGGAATATTTCTATACTTCT